TGAAATAATTTATTTTTTGGTTTAATAATATAACATTTTATAAAAATAATAATTAAGTATTCTGTTAGAACTCAATGATTATCCTAATTATATTTTGGATTTTTTATATTTAAAATGAGATGTGTATCCTATATTTGATTATGTTTATCTACAGTTAGTTACACGAATTCATATATGGAGCTTTAATAAGCTGTACTTTCGCATAATCTACTTGTAATCTTGAGTATTAAGTAATATGCATTAATAAACAGTACTTTACGCATAAAAAGTGGTTTTTAGAGTTTTTGTCAAATGTTTTATAATATAGTATAGATATATATTGGTTACAAGATTTAGATGTCTCGACCGGATTTTATGTCTTTTTGCCTTCGATCAGATGATGTGTTTTCTTCTCTTTGCTTCTTTATTTTTCGTCCCACAATCATGAAAAGTAAACTTTAACGATGCGCCTTTAACAATGCCATGTTTCAGCCATAGACTGTAGTGACGATTTGACATCGCTATGAACCTTTTGTGTTGAGAAATGGGTATATCGTAAACGGCCCCTAAGTTTCTACATTTCTATCTTATTTGTTTCAAAATAATGTCTACTTCAAAAGTTAAGAGGTTGTTACCAAGCATTTATCAAGTCACATTACCTTATGAGATAAACATGATAATGTTTAAAAATCTGATCTGATAAGAACAATGGCAATGACCGAGAGTCTTACCCAGTAAGTGAAGGTGATGACTTTTATTTGGTTAGTGCTTACCGGGTAAATTGTAGCATATGATGTTGTTTTATAGACTAAATTTCCAGCTTGTAGTTTCATCTCTAAGCCATTTCTCTCCTAAAATCATCAAAATGTCACTCAGTCCATAAATGGCAGGTCCACATTTTGCATAGGGGTCAAAATGTAAAAAAATGAAGTGTTTGAACCAGATCCGTAATTGTATAGGTACACAAAAATATTTCCTCAACTTGCGGATGTGTTTTTCCAAAATTACAGATTTGGTCCCTACAAATTGTGGACTTGCTACTTACAAACCGAGTAACATTTTGGTAATTCTTGAAGATAAATGAGTAAGAGATGAAACCATACAGTCAAAATTACTACTTTAATTAATTTCCCTTCAGATGATTATTGAACATAACTTGTTAATTCAAAAAATCAGTTAAAAATACCTGCAAAAGATATATAAAAGTGAAGTGTCAAAAAGACAATATAGTGCTTATACTATAATTAAAATATAACGAAGTTTTTTCTAGTGATTGTAACGGAAAATATTTTTTCTCAGTTAATATAACAAATATTTAATACTTTTATTGTACATAATTTAACTGATAATCTAGTGATTCATTCGATGATGTAGATGTTAAGTTGTCAACTATGATATAAAACTCGTTACGCAAATTATCAAATTGTTAATTTTCATCCCTATGGTTTGTTAACAATTTCAATTTTCGTCCATATGGTTTAGAAATTGTGTTTTTGTAACTATAGTTTGCAACTTATTATTATTTTCGTTCCTGAACTAATTATCTACCTTCAAGTATAAGAGACAAAAACATTAAAGGATCGTAAACCACGGAGAAATAAAGAACAATAAATTGTAAATCATAAGGACGAAATAGCAATAAGTTACAAACTATAGGGATGAAAACCGAAACTTCCAAATCACAGGGACTAAAATTGCAATATTTAATAAACTACAGGGATGGAAAACGTTAGTTACTCTAAAGTTTAAGAAAAGGAGCGTAACGGATATATTTTAAGGTGAAAGGGGCATAAAAGGAACCCAATTCGACCGTTGCATCATTTTTTTCAAATTCATCAATTAAGCATCTGTTCAAAGAAAACCCTAAAATCTTCCCCCTTTCTGCTGTCATCTGTAATCGTCTTCAATTTCGTTAATCTGGATGAAGAAGCGCTTTATTTAATCACCCTGAAGTTTAGCAGAGCAGAGATTTTGGCTTCTTTCTTAGAGGCATTACCACAAGCAATTGAAGTGCATTCATCGTAGAGTAGATCCATACAAGATGGGAAAACGCAGAGATTCTTCGGGCAGTAATCCCCCTGGAGATCGACAAGATTCATGGAAAAAGATCTTTAAAGGACTCGTTGATTTGATACAAGATCAACAGCGACAGCTCGAGTCTCTAGTTAAAGAACGAAAATCGCTTGAAAGAAGAATCCAATCGCAGCACGATCGATGGGTTTCCGATGTCAAGCTATTAGAAGATCATATTTCCCAGGTGAGAGTCTCAGATTTTGGATTAGGTGTTGAATTTTTGATGATTTCTATGCTTCTGATGATGAATCTCTTGTTGCCATCTTTAATCAAGTGATACTTTTGACTATCTCTAAGATGATTTTTATGGAATTTCAGTTGTGGATTGTGTTTGTTATGGTAAAATTCTGTGAATTCGTATGATTTTAGGGTTCTTGTTGATACGTATTGTTGTTTGTATAGGTGATGAGAAACTCCAAAATCAAAGATATGGTTCGTTTTGTTGATTCTGCAAAGGCGAATCTGATCATCAGTATGAAGCAAAAGGAAGCAATTATGCACAAACTTAAATTTGGTCGGTTCTTCATCACTTTCATTTCTCTGTTTTCATTTTCTGGAAACCCTTCTAATTTACAACCATTGATGCATTGGGTACATGTACTGCAGAGGATGTAGACGATGAACGAATTGATCTCAAACTTCTCTTTGACGATCTCGCTCAATGTTTGGCCGAGCCAAAAGTACGTTTATTCTTCTATCTGTTTTAAGTATATACTGCAAACTCACACACTGCTTGAACCCTTGACCTTCACCGAGGTTGGGATCTACCAGTAAACGGCGTCCTTGGGATCACGGACCGACCCTAGAACCCTGTTGGCCTATTCAATAAGTGGAATGCATTAGCTGTCAGCTGGTTCCACTAGGCAAAGACCCTTTGGTATGTTATAATGCCGTTTATGCCATCAAAAATGCATAGTGATCTCTGATATTTATTGGCAGCGTGCTACCCGTAGCAATACCAAGGACATCGATGAATCTGCTCTGAAAGCGGAGAGGGATTTCGCATGGAATCAGTTCAAAAAAACTGACGCCAAATTGCAGGAGCACGTTAAGAGGACCAAATCCGAAGTTGAAGCTGCGAATGAAAGAATACAGAAACTGATGTCGGATTTGGAGCAATCACAGTCGGCAAACATGGAGAAGAACAGAACGATTTCAACCTTACAAGATGACGTAGCCATGCTAGAATCTGATTCAAGAAAAAAGAGCGAAGAAATTTCCCGACTTAACAAAGAACTGGAGTTGTTACGAGGTGATTCCGTATTGCGTCGTTGCATGATAGAACCAGTCTCGTCTGGGTTGAAAGACAAGAAGAGCCATTCGAAGGTAATCAAAACGAATGACCCTATTCATATATGAATAATTTGTAAAAGATACACGTATTTTGGGATCCATAAATGATCTTAAATGAGTTTTCGAATAGAAAAAAGACCCTGTAACTTTTTCCTTTTTTTAACTCAATGACGATGATCTGGCCCGTTCAAATCGTTAATTTCAGTTTTTGAAAAGATCATTCAGCTAAATAGCGCGTTACCCCCTGCAACTTCTTTATTATGTGCAGGGAGGAAGAAGGTCCAAGAGGAAAGCCGAATCCGAACCAAGATTGTTTACATCGAGGTTTAAAGTTCCGAAGCTAAAGAACGCATCTCCATCGTGAAATTAAGGGTGCTCGAGATATTATTCAGGCTCTCCCTCGTACGTATGTTGTATCTATGTATGGTTTTCTTTTTGTTGACTGTGGGTGTCCGGCCACCTTGCGCGCACATCCACTGATTTCATGGGGTCTTGAAGAACAACGGTCAAGATATCTACAGTGATCTTGAAGGAACTCAAAACCGATGACATTTGGTGTATGTATGGTTTTTGGTAACTTTTGTAACTTCCCATATCTTGATTTGTTGTGGTAGTGTTTGTGTTAGAAGATTAACATTGTAATTATGTGATTGTTTTAACATTTATTGATGTTAATGCGAGCCGATTAATTCCAGACGATCACCTGCTTTGCGGGTAGCTCGGAGTCATCGTATTTGTGAGATCCAATTTCTATCTTAAGGTTTTGTTTCCCATGATTTTTTTCAATCTAAGTATAATATTTAATGTATTGATTAACATGTATATGTTTCACAATGTGTTTGTTTCATATGTATTCGGTTCACAATGTCAAACTTTTTTAGTTATATTTTTTACTCCACAACCATGCTAAATAAATTACATTGTGAACTGAGTACATATATGAATCATTACATTAGATTCTAGCCATAGATGAAAAAATCAATTGAAATAGCACATAAAATCAAACTAACATAAGCGAACGAAGGAGTAGAGGTCGATGCAGTCTCAAAATAGAATCGAAATAAATCTAGTGGTGGATGGCAATGGAAGGAGTACGGAGGGGCGAAAAGGCAAATAGGGAATGCACCATCGGGGCTTTGTCGGAGTTTGGAGGGTGTGGCTTTCAGTGGCGGATCCAGGAAATTAATGGGGTAGGGGCACGTTGGATGGAACTTGGGGAAACCATGTAAGACGAGGGGTGAAAATAGAAAATTTAAACTAGTCAGCAAAGGTTTTTGGTTTTTGACTGGGGGCCTTTTCTCCCGGTGCTTAAAGGTTGGATCCGCCCCTGTGGCCTTCACCATCTTTCCCTAGCTGGCCGACGCTACACCTCTTCTACGGCCCCTTTCCCCATCGTTACGCCTCTACACCTCTTCGTTTATACTTCTCCCCATCGCTACACCTCTTCCTTTGGTTTTCATCAACACAGGTACCAAATTTTCCCGTCGATTCCTCCTTCCAGCGCTTCCCTTCAAAGTTCAAACCCTAGCCACAAAGAAAAAGTCATCCTTCCCCGTTGTTGTTGCTCATCTCCGACGACCATGACCTCGTCGCCGCACCTCCTTCGTCGTTGCAACTCCTCCATCCTTCCAACTCCTCTGTTGCTGCACCTCCTCCGTCCCTGCTCCTCCTTCATCGCTGCTGCCCTGCGACCGTCGACTTTGCTCTATTCCTCCCCTATTGCACTGTCGATGACAAAACGTTAGGTTTCATGTAGCAGTAGCAGCTTTTAATGTTTAAATGGTTTGATTATTATGTTTTGATAATTTGATGTTCAAATGTTTGGTTATTATGAGTTAAGAAGGTGTGGTTGGAGCGCATATTGTGTTTTCTGGGTTGTGCTTTTTGGTAATTTCTTATTTTACTATGTTCAACTTTATGTATTCCTCTACCCATAGAGTACATTGAATGTACAGAAATGGCTATAACAGAGTTCTCTTGGTTTGAGTTTGATTGAATAGCTGTAAAGTTGAAACATGTTTGAGGGGAAGATCGATCATTATTGTCATTTAGACGATTGATTCAGGTAAAAAAGTAAACAACAACAAATTTTTGTCTAAACAGACAAATTTATCCATACAGAACTTAATGGAAAATTTGGTAAACAGACCCTAAAGTTGTTTCCAATAAGTGTAATTATGCAAGGCAAAAGAACTCGGATCAAGTTGATGACAACAAAATCTGTCATTGTTGTATATCATTTGAATAAGGGGCCGTTTACCCAAATACTTATTAGGTGAGTGCTTATCGGTAGGAGTCAATACCATAATCTATTTTCCCAGATAAGATTTTAGTATATTAAAACGATATGTATGCAACAATTTATTTGGTAAACGCTTACCTGGGTAAGAGTCCTCACACCATCACTTAGCGGGTAAGACTATCTATCTTTATCATCGCTCTTACCGGGTAAGATTTTCAGCCCTTGCCATGTGCATTAGCACACTTACCGGGTAAGTATTTAGTAAACGGCCCCTAAAGATATGAATCATATAAAACTAATTAGTGAGTTTAGCTCTCCTTGGATTTAATTTGGAATATACAGTCATGAAGATATGTGTTTCGAATTAGAAAAAGCTCGTGTCGTGGAAGCTTAATCGACCTCTTCTTAATTAGCAGAAGTGAACTATATCGACCACCAACAACTGAACATGAAATATGACGTGGTAACACATAACAATACGTTATTCGGATTTATATAGCATGACATATCATACACAAACGAGCTTAATCAGATAAAGTAAGTTCTAAAAGTTAAGCAACCTTTCAGATATTTTAATCATTTCTGAAATTATATAAAATACCAAAATTTCTTGATGTTAAACAACTTTAATTATGTAATATCATGAAATATAATATGAATCATTGAGCTTGGCTTCAAAGGTCAAAAGTACGAGGAGGTATCAAGTTCAAATTCAAGGAGGAATAAAAATCCCTTGTAGCCACGGTGGTTCAAATGCGGTGACTTCGGACTATCTACAAAGCAGGTGATCGTCTTGTCGCATAACAGGTTGAATATTCAAGTTAATTAAAAAAAATGATGTTTAGGTAATGATATAGAAGCAATTATTGATGAGTCAGAAAGCAATATAAAGTTTGTAGAACAACTAGAAAATTAGTTGACTTGTGGGTACTTTTCTCCATTTGGTTGCTTCTACTTTAAACCCATTGAAAATTTGAATAAAAGGATGATAACAATGGTGATAATTAAAAGGTGTTTTGTCCTAAGCCATTCATGAGTCCACTTACACAACCATACTTTAATGTTTATATATATATATATATATATAGAGGGAGCGATCAGATGAAAACCACTTAATTTGTAAAAACTGTAAAAACATCATTTCACCAATCATAATTTTTCATTTTGTTCACATTTTTGTAATTATAAGAGGTTGATTAATCATTTTTATTGTGAAGGATGTTAATCATGGATATTATCATCTTCATTATTTTAATTTTAGAGAAATACATGAAACAGTTTCATTAAAATTTCATTAAGTAGTATATGAAACAATTTCATAACCATATATGAAACAACTTCATCAAAAAAAAATATTATATGAAACAATTTCACAAGATTAAACAATTTCATGAAAAAATTTCATAAGATTACGACGGATGAGAGTAGTTTTTACGGTTTTTACAAATTGGAGTGGTTTTTATTTGATCGCTCCTCTCTCTCTCTCTCTCTCTCTATATATATATATATATATGTGTGTGTGTGTGTGTGTGTGTGTGTGTGTGTGAACGATCAAATTAAAACCGCCCTCATTTGTGTAAATCATGTAAACTAATCTCATTTATCTATTTTCTTGATCAATGGTCAAGATTAGTTTAGGTTATATTAGAAAATTAAAAAAATAAATAATTAAAAATTTATTTTATAATCCCGAAAATAACAAAATGGTAACTTCGGTAGTGGTAATATTAATGACAATCATATCATGTATATCATAATATTAATGAAACAAAATCATTTGTAAAATAATATATTAATTTTATGTTCAAATATTATAAAAAAAAATAACATCATTCGTTAAAATAGATTAATAATAAAAATAAAACACACTATAATCAATTTAACATAATGAAACTTATTGAATAATAAAAAAATTACTACTACATTTCATGAACGAAATGGTTTCACGGTTTAATCAATACACAAATCAACGTAATGATAGATGAGACATTTGTTATTTTCAAGTTTCTAGTAGATGGATCCGTTTCAATCTAATTATGAAATGGTTTCATTGTTTGCTAATTAAACAACATGTTCTTAACAATTATCGAAATGATTTCACAATTTCATCAATACACTAATCAACGTAATGCCTGATGAAACATTTGTCATTTTCATGTTATTGATAGATAGATCATTTTCATTGTAATAATGAAATTGTTTTACCATTCGCTAATTACACAACATTTTCTTAGCGACTATGAAATGATTTCACTTTCGTTATGCATCCATTTCATCAGTCAATTTCTTCCAATACGAACATGTTTTATAGAGTCAATGCATTTATCATTACATGCTTTGTTAACCATTAAGTGAACACGTTTCATAGAGTCAATGTATACCTTCAAATATAACCAATCTGCATACGTTTCATAAAACAAGCTCATCAACGAACGTTTTCATGAACAAATCTAACATGAATCTGTTTCACAACTGATTATATTTTTACCGGTTCATGAATCTTTGTTTGGATCTGTTACTGATTTCGTTGATTAATGAAAATAATAATTTTCGATTTTCATATTGTTACCACTAATAAACAGAGAAGCCAAATAATAAAATTTAATTTTTAAAATTCTAATTCTAAAAAACATTTAAATATTACAATTTCTAAAATTTTCTTTATTATGTTACCTTAATTAAGATTTATTAATAACTTTCTTAATTAATCGAAAACAATGTAAATGACAATTCTACCCTTAATGATTAAATTTAATTAAGAAAAAAAAGAATTTTTCTATTGGTCGAAATTAGTTTACACGATTTCTAAGAATTAGACGGTTTTCTCTCTCTCTCTCTCTCTCTCTCTCTCTCTCTATATATATATATATATATATATATATATATGGAAGAGTTCAAACGAGAACACATTTATTTTACAAACATACAAAAACATTCTTTTACCATAGACAATCACATGTGATACTATTTTTCAATCACATATAATAATTTATAAGCTATTCGATCAAAATTCATAGGGCAAAAAAAAAGAGTAAACCACAAATTCGGTCCTTGTATTTTGTCAAAAATAACACTTTTATCCCTGTAATTTCAAAATTATAAAATGGTCATTTTTTTTAACAATCGTTAAAGTGAGGGACTAAATTCATACATTTTTGGCAAACTACGATTACATCTTGTAATGTTGAAACTAGAGAGAGAAAAATGGTATATTCGACAAACTGCAAGGACTATATTTGTAATTTACTCAAAAACATATAAAAAGGTTGGCATTCTATGGAGGGACGGCTATTGGCTCTTAACAAATCCATTTCCAAAAAGCTACCTTGTTTTTGGTGATTCGTTTCTTAAAAAAAAACATTCATTAAATAATTTATTCATATAAAAATAATATTTTTATTACAATTATAAATTTTCTCTTAAA